AAAACAACTGAAGCATTCTGTTATGTACCTAATTTCATCTAACCCACTGTTTTAGTTTTTTCTTCTCATTTCCCTTGCTCTCTGGTTCACCATGTGTATCCCCTCAGTCACCCTCAATGTGTTTCATAAAGGGGAGCAGAGAAGGCAAACACTCCTTCACATTAATCCGATCACGTTCCAAAGTGTTGGCTTCGTGTCTGAGTGAGCACCCTATCACTTTTCCGCAAAAGTTGCGATGGCCTTTTTAGTAGTTCAGCACTAGGAACATTTACTTATCTGTTAATGGCACAAGTCTGAACTGCATGCTGTCACATTAATAGATGGATATACACAAGACAGCACAAGACAAAGACGCAAATAGCTCTCTCCATCACTGTCACTGAATAAAGGAAGGAACATTAACGTGAAAGTGACCCATCTGATTGCGTGAACGCATCGCTTTAACATGCGGATGAAGCCACACACACGAAGTTTCACTTACAAATAGTTGAGCAGTGGAGTTAATGACAGTTCATTAAGACATTTCAATGGACTTTAAACTGGCTCACTCACTTGTTTATTTCGGTCTCCAGTAGTTCTGAAAGTCATATACCAAATAGCACCTTTAACTGTACAAGTTTAATTTTCATGACCAAAATCTTACCTTAGCCTTATTAGCTACATTTGCACGGTTGGGTGTCTACAGTGTTTTGTAATAATAAGAATAATATATTAAGACTGCATGTGAAAACAGCTGATTTGAATGCATAGAGAAAGGGGCGTGGGTGTTGAACCTACACTGATAAAGTGATCGTAAGCATAAGAATTGTAATGCTGCTAGATTTCTAAATAAGCCCAGGTCAGCATATCAACTTGAAAGATGATGCGATATATCAGTACTTCTTTTACAGATTGATTGTGCTGCCATCAAATTCCACAAAAGTCAGTTGCTGTAGCTCCACCAATACCTCAAAATAAATAATTTTCCCAAATCTGGTGGTGGAACAGAGATTTGCAGAGAATAATAGATTAAGGAGACAGACCGTGGCTTCTTATTATCATGAAAAAAACATTCCATACTGTATTGAGAATCACAATCCCCTCTTTCCACTGGCACGCACGCCCTCGTGCACGCACGCACACAAACGCAAACTTCCCTGAGAGAATGTTACTCTCACGTAGATGCATGCCGTTGCAGAATTAGCATTTGAATACCAACTTTTGTTGGTAAATGCAAGGGTCCTTGGAGATTTTGCACATTCTGTTCAGAGCTAGGCAGGCCAGTGGGAACAAAGTCACACATTAGCAAAGCCCTGCCAGGCTCAATTATGACCAAAGGGATTGGCTTGATAGTGTTTCAGCGGGCCACATTCAGCAATGGATGTGTCTATTTAAACATTCTTGGCCACTTCCTTTATGTTTTTCAGCACCGTAGATGGCAAATTCCTCTGTCAAGAACGAGGCAGAGGACAATATGGCGGTTCTCTGCGACACATCCTGTTTTATTCTGCTGTGTTTTATATGGCAGCCTTGGCCTATGAATCTAGTTTTCGCGTTTTGTGAAGATCTGTCTGCAGTGGAAGTGCTCGTGCTTTGTTCTCTCCAGACTATATGCCTAGAATTTTTTTCCCCCTGCCTCGCACAGTCTTTTTTCCCTCAATCTTTCTCTGTCTAAGAACATTGGTGATAAAGAAACCAGGAGCCTGACTTTAAGCTTGTGGGCTTTCGCCTCCATATTTTATTGGCATTATGAGCACAGCTGATTAAATTGCAAGTGTACGCCATGGCTCGTCCTCCTTCAATATGTAATAAATGTCTTTTTTTTCTCAGTTTTCTCATATTCTGTCTGTGTTTTGTGCTTTCTCGGGGGATCGCAGATTGGATGAATCATACTTTGTGCCTGTTTCAAAGCCCAAGGTGTTTTATTTATAGGGGAAAAGTACATTAACGCCTCTGCAAAGTCTTTGGAAGATTTATCAAGTACTCTCCCAGCTTCCACCCTGCCTCACTTGAACTGTGACAGACCTAGTAAAGTACAGATGTGAGTTGCCGGGCAGTGTAACATATCTGCCTGCCGATCCGGTTTCTGTTTTTGTCCCTCCACTCTTGCTACCGTCTTACCATCATGCCCATGCTATGACATGGCCGGCTCTGTTGTCACTACATTTATAATTCAGTCTTATCAATAAAAGATGCGTGGCATTAAGTTTTTATCTGGTGATGCAGTGCTGCTGTCTCTTAAAGCCTCTTTACAAGCGAATGACTGAAGAGCAAAACTTTCCCTCTGTGCTCTGACTTTCAGGCATCGCTTGGCATTAGTATAACCTTAGATGATCCTTGTTCTTTATACATGCTTTTAGAAGCTTATTCCCTATGATCTCATATTCTGCTAGCTTACTCCCACAGCCTTCCTCTGCAAGCCCCCAGCCTTTAATGAGTTTTGCTGAGAGTTATATTTACTCAAGTTGTCTTGTGCTTCTGTCTAAATGGCAAAATTTCTTCTTTCATTCTGTCTTATCGGGCTGAATCAGCATTGTTGTTTTGCAGCTCACTTAGTACAAAGAGCTGATGTGGGCAGATCTCTGTCAGGAAAACGAGCTCTAAATCACTGCAGTTTACAGACACAACATGGCCTGCCTCGCATTATGAATGCGTATAAGCCAACACGGTCATGTTGTTGGAGACTGAGAGCAGCTTGGCTGACAACTGCTGTTCCTTAACTGTCGTCCATCTGTTTTTTCCACACGTCTTCAAGGTGCAATGTCTTCTGTCTGTTTGGAGGTTATGGTTCCGTCTGCTTTTTCTTTGGGTTTCATGTAGCATCTACCACCCGAAGAGATAAACAATACGAGCAGATAAAAGACAGACAGAGGGAGAGCAAGCTGGAAAGAAAGAACCGTGTGTGTCGGTTAGAGCTGATAAAAGCCTGAAAATCCAATTAGTTCTCAGTATCGGGGCAAAGGAGGAAGCCTCATGGGAGTAATGTCAGGAAATATCCACCACCATAGCATGACAATAACACAACATTTACATACTTGGCTATTGATAGAGCAGCGTGAAAAATCTAACTGGATGTTTTCTTGCAAGTCAGGACTATATTTGGTAGCCTTCCCTGATGGCTTTTGCCCACATCAGCTTTTTAAACAGATAAACAACTATCAAAGGCAAGCATTGTACCTACTACACCACAAGCCACCCTGAAAGAGGAGCCAGTAGGCAGAGGGTGGTTTTAATTTTTCAGCATACAGAATCTCTTCTTTATTCTCTTTAGATGTCCTGGAAATGATTTTGGTGATGAGGTTTGCACTACTGAATGCAGACAGCGTTGGTTAAATGTGTGTCCTTTCAGCAGGTTTCTTTTTTTCCCCCTTATTATGATTTCCCTCGTTGCTGGTGCCTTCTTTTCATACACTGGCAGAAATGAAAGAGGTATGGAGGCAAGGAGGGAACATGAGAAGGAAGCAGGGACAATTCAGAAAAGCACAGAGCCCCAAGTTAGAGCTCATGTGCTCCTCCTGGGAAGAACCACATGCCCTGGGTTAGAAGAGCAGAGCAAAAGCAGCTGCTGCTACATTTTAATCATGTATTGATATACTCATAGTGTGTATTTGCTTACATGAGTGTGTCGATGAAGGAAGACAGAGGACATACGAAGGTGCTGGTTTTGTATTTGTCTTTAAATGAGGACTGATCTGGTCACAATCTCATTGTGGACTTCCCAGCACATATACCTAACCCCCACCTTCTCACGACAGCGAAACATCACAGTGGGTTGCTGTTGCTTACAAACGGTTTTTAATTACGGTCACAGGGGTGTGTAGCTGCTGATGTGTCATCATAAATTAGATGCTATTTAAACTTTATTGGGGATTTGATCAAAATGAGAATGCGCTACATTTTATAAGGCAGATTTTTGTTCCGAAAGGTTCAGATGTAAACAAAGGTGGAAAAACGACAAACAAATATTTATTTCTTTATTTCTAAGAAAAAGGTTTTTATTCATTTCGAGACTAAATGTGATCCTCATTATACAGCGTTTTTGTTTTTTGCATGAAGATAAATAAAACGACTCTTAAATCTCGAACACTTACTGATGTGTCTTAATTAGCTACAGTGCTTGTAGCGCTTGTCAATTCTACTGTTGATTTTTCGTGAGTTCTTGCAGTCATTGTTTCTGCAGTTTTTACACTAGAAAGTCAGGTTACCGCTGCTGTGGGTTTGCATGGGCACAATAACCAACAGTTGCCATGGTAAACTCTAATGGGATGTATTGTTAATGAGGAGGAGTTATTAGAAAGCTAATAGGATTGAAGTGTAATTTTGGCAAACTGCATGTAGAGATTAATTGAGAAAAGACTATTTAACACATACTTGGCTCTAATTGTTATGTTAAATGTGTGCTCAATTTTTTTTGAGCAACAATGACAATAAATAGACAATGTTTTTGTCTTTTTATCTATTTTATTAACCTTAGTGTCATATCCACATTTATTCTTCTACTTTCATTTTCACACTGTGGGGATTTTCTGTTGTAGTGTGCCTTGTCTACTTTATGATTTAAGGTGAACATTTTCATTAGAGTCATATTTTGTCCTCACATTGTCACTGCGCTCAATGACCCCTGTCTTCATTTCCCTCCTCTCATCCGGTCTCTCCTTCACCTCTGCCTCACACTCCTTCACCCAACTCCTCCTTCCCCTGTTCTTCGCATTCACCCTAACCCCGTTACGATGAGGTGAGGCCCGAGCTGGCCTCCAGCCCGGGCCCATTAGCCCCAGCCTTGCAGCCATGTGCTCATCACCAGAGATCATTACAATCAGCCAATGACACCACTCTAATGCATCATTAATGATTGATTAACGAGCTGAGCTCAGCCCAAGCGGGTGCATTTGTACGGAAGAGCACCCCATAATGGTCAGGCAAGGCTTGCATCTGCTGTTTTTAACTTGTGCAGCTTTGTGTATGTGCGTGTGTTTGTATGATTTATTCTCATCAGCTTCCCTCTGTGTCCTCTTCCTCAGGCTGAGTAAGGAAGTTGCTGACTCCTCTGTGTTGAAAGAAACACTAAGGAGGTGACTGAGGAGGTGGCGTGATGGCAGAGCGGGGGCTCTCCGCCCCTCTCCCTCTCCTTCTCTTTCTTGTCCTGGTGGGAGTTCTCCCAGAGATTGAGAGCTCGGGATATCTTTCCGGATATCGCCTGAGGAGTCGTTTGCAGAGGGACCGGCACATCCGCAACATCCGACCCAACGTCATTCTCATTCTCACTGATGATCAAGACATAGAACTGGGTAAAATGTTTCCATTAATCCTCTGTGGTGTGCGTTTACCGTGTGATTATGCATCTGTATCGCTGTTCACTTTGTCGGGTACAGACATTTTGTCCATGTGTATCCACCAGCATCAGCAAAGGAAAGTCAGCCTAATGCTGCCTCTTGGCACCATAACAACTGGCCTACTCAAAGTCATGTGTTCCCTTTGCCAGCTCCTCTGTCGCTGGCATGAAATGAGGGCGGCCTATGGCTTCCATTGTCTGGTTGCCAAACCCTGGCCATCTCCCTACCCGCTTAAGTCTTTTAGCAGCGTATTGGGCTGGAGTGGCTGCATAATGGCCTCAGTGACATCCTTTGTCCTTCTGTGATCACCAGTGAGAAAACTCCCATTGAAAAGCAGGAATTTATGGTCAAGCATCTGTTTCCCCAAACAATCACCATCCGCCTGAAAAGCTTTTAGTACACAGGAGACCAAATGGGTTACACTTTACAAAAAAAGATTTATTCTCTCATCTTATTTCCCCCCTTTCGTTTTATCTTCCCACATCCATAATGTTTTTCCCCCCTCATGGGTTATATTTATATTTTCACTCTTTACTCTATGTTCAACATCTCACTCCTCATTCCTCTTGAATGCTTTACATCCCCCTGGGTCCCTTTCATTTCAATTGCCGGCTTTTGAATCTGCTCTTACCCTCCTGTCCCCTCGTACAACCCCCCCCCCTCCCCCCTTCTCTCCCTTTCCCCCTGTTGCCTCCCAGGCTCTATGCAGGCCATGAACAAAACTCGGCACATCATGGAAAAGGGCGGCACACATTTTTCAAACGCTTTCTCCACCACGCCAATGTGCTGCCCATCCCGCTCCTCCATCCTGACGGGAAAATATGTGCATAATCACCATACCTATACCAACAACGAGAACTGCTCCTCACCCTCGTGGCAGGCCCACCACGAGCCGCACACCTTTGCTGTCCACCTCAACAACTCAGGCTACAGGACAGGTGAGCGTTGCAGAGTCCAAATCGAGCTTCAGTCGTACCCATTGAGTTATGAAATTTGCAAATAAACCTGAAAAAGAGTACATCATTAACTTGCTGCGCACCTGTTCTTCACTCAGCCTTTTTTGGAAAGTACCTCAATGAGTACAACGGCTCCTACGTGCCTCCTGGCTGGAAGGAGTGGGTAGCATTGGTGAAAAACTCACGTTTCTACAACTACACCCTCTGCAGAAACGGTGTACGGGAGAAGCACAGCAGCGACTACACAAAGGTATTATTGCACTCTTCTGACATCAAAAGAAAATACATGTATCACTGCATAACTAAAGTAAAAGTTAAGCCAAGTATCGTTAGATTACATTTGTTTAGATCTTTTTTCTACTCTACCTGAGCAGCTCTCAAATTGCCCCGTTCACAAATTCACACTCCTTCATTCATGCATACTTTCCACATAAGTTCTTTTCTAACACTTACACACATTCAGAGGGCAACTCGAGATTTGTATCTTGCCCAAGGACATTTGGCATGCAGACCAAAGCAAGGCCAGAGCGATCGAACCACCAACCCTCCGATTAGTAGCTACCTCCTGAGCTACACCCACTCCAGCATTTACATAAGTGACTGTATTGACTTTTGTAATTACAAATGAAATTGACAGTTGGACAGCAGTTCCACTGACTCAGTATCAGTAACGTCTGGTTTTGACTCGCACAGTGCTGGTGCTCTGCTCTTTGACTCCCTCTGTCACTCACTGAGTACATGATAAATAATATTTCATGTACTTTACAGGACTATCTGACAGATGTCATTACCAACAACAGCATCGACTACTTCCGTACGTCCAAGAGGCTGTACCCTCACCGGCCTGTGTTGATGGTTCTGAGTCACGTTGCTCCACATGGTCCAGAGGACTCTGCCCCGCAGTACAGCTCCGCTTTCTCCAATGCATCACAGCACATGTAAGGAAATGAGTTTTGCTTCAAATTGCCTAAACAAACTGTGACCAAGTTACGAGTTAGCAGATTGTTGCAGGTTTTCCGATGATCTGTGATAATACATGCACAGATAATTGGCAGCTGTTTGAACAGGAGCTTTGCCTATGGGATGTAAGCGTGTTTGGTTTCAGGGGGACAAAGATAACAAGTACACAGATACATTTTTACATTTTCACATCCAGACCTATTTGCTTGCATATGAGTCATCTGTGCATTCATTCTGCTTCTATGACCCAGGATGACACAAATTCCATAATCTCGACTCAATCTCATCCTCCTCTGCCTGCAGAATGTTGTTGGCAGCCGATGCCTTTCCTTCCACTGCCAATGCTTTGCTCCAGTTTATTTGGCTCGTGCATTGTTCACATTAGTGGTACCACCGTAATGAGACCTGCTAATTTGTAGCATTTTGTCAGTGGTACAAGAAGAGAGGAATGATGTATGTATAGAGCTTAGGTAATGATGAAGCCATGTGCACACACAAACACACACAGACACGCCTAACACCTCCATTTTTTTCTTCCTGACCCTTTGTGCTCACTGGCTGCCTAGTGCTGCTAGCTAATGGCAGAGCTGCTATTGGCCTCTAGAGATGTAGCCAAGGCCAGTAATGAGACTACCCCCTCACACCATCCTGCTGCTTCATCTAATCCCTCCAGCACCATTAACCTGTGCCACACAAGCTTTAAACACATAGAATATTCGGAAAATTCAGCCCTAGTGTCTTTGTGCAAACTTTTAATTGCTCTTTCTCCATAAATTTCCTCTCCCTCGGGTGATGTTTTCTGTGAGAGCCTTCTCTGGCTATTTTCTCACTCCATCTCCCTCTGTCCTTATCAACCACACTAAGAGAGAGAGGCAGTAAAAGTCCTGCACTCCTGTAGTGGTAAACCTTCTTCTCACCTTGGCACATTACAGACACATCTTCACAGTACATTAGATTTCTCGCTGCAGAATAAGCTTCGGGACATTAGCATTTCTTAAAAGCCAAATCGATCCACTTCAAACATTAAAGGTATTTTCTTTTAGGATCTCATTAGCTATTTAGCAGTTTTTATTCCCAAATACAGTTCTGTATGGCTTGGAGTTAAATATTGATCAAACTGGGCTCACTGTGTGCAGACCTATTGATTGCATTTTACATGGTTTATGTAACCTCCACTTTAGCATTCCATAAACAGTTTTCTGGCTACTTTGGGGAAAAAGGATTGGAGACATTAGCCAGCACAGGAAGAAAATGTTGCTGTGAATGCATGCGTTTTGGTTCTATGATTCAATTTACAGCTAAAGAATATGGAAACATCTCTGTGCAAATGTACGGTGACTAGTAGAAAAAGAACTCTGTCTCCTTTAAAATGTAAGTAGAATCGGTATAAGTGAAATGCTTATTACACCACATAATTTCAAGCTTCAAGCTTTTTTGCTGTTATCTTTCATTTTAGAACCCCCAGCTACAACTATGCCCCTAACCCAGACAAGCACTGGATCCTACGCTACACTGGACCTATGAAGCCTGTCCACATGCAGTTCACTAACATGCTTCAGCGCAGGAGGATGCAGACTCTGCTGTCGGTGGATGACAGTGTGGAGAAGGTATTCAGACAAGCAGACAGACATATGCTTAAACACAGACACACACACACATCTCATCTGACAGCCTTAAATCCTGGGAGATCTGTGCTTGTTCTGACTGGGACTGTATAATGTATTCACTGACACACTTGGTAAATTGTTCAATCCTCCTTTCCCACAATCTGGCACAAGAGACTTGAGCTATCAAACAGAAGTAAAACTTTTCACACTGTGTGAGTGTTCAATGAACTATATCCTCCGTAGGTGTACAACATGTTGGTGGAGACAGGTGAACTGGACAACACGTACCTCATTTACACCTCAGACCACGGCTACCATATTGGCCAGTTTGGTCTTGTGAAGGGCAAATCAATGCCTTATGAGTTTGATATCCGTGTACCCTTCTACATTCGAGGACCTAATGTGGAGCAAGGTGCTGTGTAAGAGACTCGTTGTTTTTCTCTTGCATTCAGTATAGGGATAAAGGTAAATACCATTGTGACTATTTTCTTCTATCTAGTTCTATAGAAAAAAAATGTTCTTGTTGTCCTGCAGTAATCCTCACATAGTATTGAACATTGACCTGGCACCAACTCTGCTGGACATGGCTGGTGTTGATATCCCTGCAGAAATGGACGGCAAGTCTATCCTCAAGCTGCTAGACACAGACCGACCAGTCAATAGGTGAATACCTACTTTACTTTATAAACTCACTATCTTCGTATTCTTCGTATTTTTGAATAGCATTTAAAATACCAGGAATGTGTCAAAAAGGTTGAGAGTTGAACTCTGTTTATTTCATGGGCATAATGAAATCTGCAATCCAAACATAAAAATGGAACACCACTTTCTTCTCAGTGCCATGCAAGGATGACATTTAAAATAGAGTACATGTTTATCCTGTGCAAATATCACAAAGTGGTTTAACAGGATTTCTGAAAACGTCTCATTTTACAGGTTCCAGTTGAGCAAGAAGGGTAAAACATGGAGAGATTCTTTCCTCGTGGAGAGAGGGTATGTTTTATTGTAATGTATTATCTTTTGTGAAAACTGTTCCCAAACCAGGAATTGTCCTGTAGCAACATGAGACTTCTTGTCTGGTTGGCTGAAGAAAAAATCTTTTTCTGTTTTTTTGTTTGTCTGTGCTTTCAGGAAGCCTCCGCACAAGAGAGCCGATGGAAAGGAAATGGCCCAGGAAGAGAACTTCCTGCCAAAATATCAGAGGGTGAAGGACCTGTGCCAAAAAGAAGAGTACCAGACCTCCTGCCAGCAGCCAGGACAGGTACTTGACCTGTAAGATCTCTAACAGAGAGGTTAATGAAGTCTGAATGGAACAAAATTAAGAGATAATTAACATTCTGGTTGCAATCTGCCGAGTTATCTGCAGTCATTGTATGTTTAATCGAACATAAAAGTCTTTTTCTTAATCCTCCAAAATGAAGAGCATGTGCACGTGTGTATAAAGAGCTTTCCAGTTTGAATAAGACTCATAAAAGGCTCATCCCAGAAGATTAATATTATTACTATTACTGCTCAGCTTGAATATGCCTTGTGCTCATTTAGATGTCTGTGATTTTTATCGTCATGCTATAAAGACTGGGTCAAAATTATGTTATACTCTATAAAATCTCAAAGACCTGTGTTAATCCATATTTCCCTGTGCCTTCTTTCAGAAGTGGCAGTGTGTGGAGGACCCGACTGGCAAGCTGAGGCTGTATAAGTGCAAGGGCATGGCTAGTCTCTTTGCCCCACGTATGCAGGCTCTGATGGCCAGCGGTGCCTCACAGCTGTCTCTCACATCCAGCTCTGACAGCTGTGACTGCAGCAATTCCGGCTTCAAACCATCCATCATGAAGAGGAAGAGGCTTCTCACCAAAAAGAGTCAGTTCCTGTTGTCCCTTACATTGTTGTCATTGCTATAAATAGATGCTTTTGTTTAGAAAGAAACTTTTCTTTACTTTGAATCGTCCTTGCAGTAGCCTATGAAGCTTTCCAAATGGGGCCATTTATCTCAAGCGAAAATAACCAGCTGTTGAAGTATTCATGAGACCAGAAGGATATGTCAGTGCTGCCATCAAGTGGCAGAATAGAACAGACAAATTACCAATTAAATAGCAGAAGCTTGTAAAGGATTCCCAGAATATGATACAACTTGCATGGAATTTTGATTTATATCAGTCTGTTTAGTTGCTGTTATGTCATCTATCCTGACATAAAGAATCAAAAACACGTCTTACATTAATCTGTCTCGTCTTCTGCAGAGATAAAGTCCAGTAAGAGTACAAGTAGGAAGCGTTGGGCCCGCTCTATATCATTTGAGCTGGGCGGTGACCTGTATGCTGTAGACCTAGAAAAAGGCTACTGGCCACTAGGGTCCAGGAACAGCAGCTGGGCCAGAGACAGGAGGAGAGGAGTGAATGAGGAAGACAATGAAGAGTTCAGTGGCATGGAAGTGACTGTCAAACCCACCACCAGCAACAAACTTGCTACACCTGCTGCTATTAAAGTCACATATAGGTGCGTGTATGTGTGTGTACATTTTTCCACATGAATGTGTAATGTTCCTGAGGTAAAAGACAGAAATCAACTGTTAGAATATATATATATATATATGTGTATGTATATATACATATACATATACATACATATATATATGTATATATATATTGTTTCTATGCCCTTCAGATGCTCCATTCTTATGAATGACACAGTTAAATGTGATGGAGGCCTCTATAAGTCCCTTCAAGCATGGAAAGACCACAAATTGCACATAGAGCATGAGGTACTGTTCCTTTTTGCTTTTTTAATTGTTATATTTAATACATATTGTAGGTTATTTATAGCCTGTGGTGTCTAATTAGATTTGGGGCAACTTTCCTTTTTAGATTGAAACCTTGCAGACAAAAATCAAGAACTTGCGTGAGGTCAAAGGTCATTTAAAAAACGTGCGACCAGAGGAATGTCAGTGCGACAGTCCCAGGTGAGAGAATTTAAGGGTGACAGATAAGCACCAACACAGAGATTCAGCACATCTGACAGCTGACTTTGTCTTTTCAGTTATCTCACTACGAATAAGGAGACTTTCCAACTTAATGCAGGACAAATGCTCTCACTCAGGTAAAACGTCACGGTAACACTCGTTTACTGTGTAGTAATTTTGAATTCCTCACTCAGGCTAGTTGTGACGTATGTTTTGTATTTATTAGAATGCCATCAAAGCAGAAGACTCAGTGGTTGCAGAAGGAGCAGAAACGCAGAAAGAAACTACGGAAATTCCTCAAGAGGCTTCAGAACAACGACACGTGCAGCATGCCCGGCCTGACCTGCTTCACACATGACAACCATCATTGGCAGACTGCTCCCTTCTGGACAAGTGAGGGATAGTCTATGGATTTAGCAAGTTGTTCAAAGAGTATCATGGTGGAACATACCTCTTTGTTTCTGGCACTATTTTCCTGAGCAGAAATGATGACAACAATATTTTGAATCACGTTTTTCAAACTCTTGTTTTCCACTGTCACCCCTCCCTTCCTTATAAACTCCCCCTTCCTCTGATCCTCAGTGGGTCCATTCTGTGCATGCACCAGTGCCAACAACAACACATACTGGTGCCTCAGGACCATCAATGACACACACAATTTCCTGTTCTGTGAATTTGCTACGGGCTTCCTGGAGTATTTTGACCTCAACACTGACCCGTACCAGGTATTTATTTCAACAGACACACAGAATGGCAGTTATCAATAATACGTTTAAAATAATCCCACTACATGATTCATGGTGCACATGGGATAGTTCCCAAAATTTCCAAAGTCCTTGCTGACATTTTGTCCTTATCATTCCTGCAGCTGATAAATGCTGTCAACACCCTTGACCGCAACGCTCTGAATTTGATGCATCAACAACTTATGGAATTACGGGGCTGCAAAGGACATAAGCAGTGCAGCCCAGAGAAGGGTCAGTAAAAGATCTCTGTGGTAAATATCATATATTGTAGCGTCAACAGTCATTTGAAACTAAGATTAATGCTACCCCTGCTTCTTTTCAGGAGGAAAGGAGCGAAACTACTTCAGTGAATACAGGTATTTCTTCCTCTAAACAGCTTGCAGCTGATTGCTTTCACAACCATCACAGATGGAATTCAAATTATAATATGAATTCAGAGAGGTTACTGCTGAGTCTTTGGTTATGTTTCTGCTCATTGCCAGTCATCTAGGGAGCTGAGGAAACAAAATAGAGACACGTTTCTCTGAAACGGAACCTCTGAACTGCCATGGTTCCTCACTGTTGTGATTGAAGCATGGTAGCATGCAGAAGTCAAATCCAAAGAGGGCTAAAATGCAAGGCTGCTTTTCAGCTTCTGCCTTTTTGTAATCAACCCTAATTGTGTGTGTGTGTGTGTGTGTGTGTGTGTGTGTGTGTGTGTGTGTGTGTGTGTGTGTGTGTG